GAATGAATTTGATGAGAATTACTAATTGTACTGATATTTTCTTATAATTGTTGTTGTTCGGTCGCGCAGTCAAGTCCGACTCTTCGCGACCCCATGGACCAGATCCCGCCAGGCCCACCTGTCTTCCGCCTTCCTCTGAAGTTTGCTCAATTTCATGTTCGTTGCATCTATAACACTGACTAACCATCTCATCCTTTGCCGTCCCTGACTTCTTTGACCTGCAATCTTTCCCAGCATCAGGGTCTTCTCCAGTGAGTGCTCCCTTCTCATTGGGTGGCCAAAGTATTTGAGCTTCAGTTTCATTATCTGGCCTTCCAGGGAACAGTCAGGGTTGATTTCTGTTAGGATTGACTGATTTGATCTTCTTGCAGTCCAAGGGACTCTCAAGAGTCTTCTCCGGCACCATAGTTCAAAGGAATCTATTCTTTGGCGCTCGGCCTTCCTTATAGTCCAACTCTCGCAGCCATACATGACTACTGGGAATACCATTGCTTTGACCATGCGGACTTTTGTTGGCAGGGTGATGTCTCTACTTTTTATCATACTGTTTAGGTTCGCCATTGCTTTCCTCCCAAGGAGCAGGCGTCTTTTAATTTCATGGCTGCTGTCACAGTCTGCGGTGATCTGGGATCCCAGGAACGTGAAGTCTGTCACTACTTCCACCACTTCCCCTTCTATTTGCAAAGGAGTGATGGGGCCGGATGCCATGATCTTAGTTTTTTTTATGTTGAGCTTCAAGCCCAGTTTTGCGCTCTCCTCTTTTACCCTGAGCAGGAGGCTCTTTAGGTCCTCTTCACTTTCTGCCATTAGAGTGGTATCGTCTGCATATCTGAGGTTGTTGATCTTTTCCCCAGCAATCTTAATTCCGGCTTGTGATTCATCCAGGCCAGCATTTCGCATGATGTACTCTGCATATATATTAAATAAGCAAGGTGACAATATACATCCTTGTCGTACTCCTTTTCCTATGCTAAACCAATCAGTTGTTCCATATCCGGTTCTAACTGTCGCTTCTTGACCCTTATACAGGTTTCTCAAGAGACATGTGAGGTGGTCTGGTACTCCCATCTCTTTAAGGACCTACCATAGTTTGTTGTGATCCACACAGTCAAAGGCTTAAGCATAGTCAATGAAGCAGAAGTAGATGTTTTTCTGGTTCTCTCTTTCTTTCTCCATGACCAAGTATTATTAATTGCATTAACTTTTCCTGCTTTGGGTCCCAAATTGTTGGGAGAAAAGTCGGTCTATAAATATTTTAAATAAATTGCATTTCAAGAAAAATATATTGCCTACGGCAGGCCTTGAAAAAGTCTAGCCGCTAGCTCCAACGTGAGGAGCCAGGCTCCCTGCTCACTTGCCCCATGACATTCCTCGGCCCACCGGCACATGTGGCTCCCCTCCCCTTTTTGATTATTGTGCCATGAAACTTAAATTTCATCGTGAAAATGTCTCTGTTACAGTTCATCTCTGCTGAGTCTGCGCTTGACCTCCACAGACTCTGAAACTTGCAGTCAATTTAGGTAAAGGTAAAGGTTTCCCTTGCTCAAAAGCCAGTCGAATCCGACTCTAGGGATGTGGTGCTCATCTCCGTTTCCAAGCCAAAGAGCCGGTGCTGTCCAGAGACATTTCCGTGGTCATGTGGCTGGCATGACTAGACGCCGAGGCGCACGAAACGCTGTTCCCTTCCCACCAAAGCGGTACCTATTTATCTACTTGCAGTTTCTTGCTTTCAAACTGCCAGGTTGGCAGGAGCTGGGGCCAGAGACGGGAGCTCACTCGGTCTTGAACTGTTGAACTACCGACCTTCTGGTCCGCAGCGTCTTAACCACTTGAGCCACAGCAGTCAATTTATAAGGTTTTAAAGTCAAAATAGAGACACACAAATGCCAGAAACTGTCCATATTCAATTAATTTAAGCAACTGGCCTCTTGCAAAAAGAAAACTTATACCTGTCCTCCCTCAGTAGTATGTACATTCCTGAGCAAAAAAACAAACAAAAACAAGCCCAAGGACATTTCTTCTGGTGAATGGCCTGGTACTATAGCCAGGAGTGAGGGGGGGTGGCGGAGTTGTGAATTCCCCACGTTGTGCAGGGAGTTAGACTAGATGACACTAGAGGTCCGTTCCAGTTCTGTGTTTCAAGGACTGCTGATGGCAAATACAACATGCTTATGTACAAGCTCTCCTATAGTGTACACACTTCTTGAGTACTCAAAAGTTTAGCTATAAGGTTAAAGGTGAACAAGGTCTACAGGTCACTGCATGCATATTGTGAGCATCTCTATCACAGACCCCCTGGGCCACCCCCAAGTAGCAGGACAGTAATGGCCAGGGAAGAAACCCCAGCATCCTTGGGTTACGAGTCTCTTCCGCATTCTCCTATGTGCCTCTCTCCGTGCTAAAGAGGCATAAGCGGAGGATGTATCTCTGGGGCGAATACCCACCTGCTTCTGCTCAGGATCCTCACCAGAGCTGCTCATGGACAGAGTCCCATGCTGAGGCTCGCAACAGACCCTGTCACATAGCTGGGGAGTCCCCCCGGGACAGCCCCACCTCCCCTGGCTTTGGATTGCGTCCATCAAGCCAAGTAGGTGCCCCGTAAGGTAGCTGAGGGCACCCCTCTGCCCCTCAGCTGACAGCGAGTGCGGGGTCCATCTTTGGCATGAGAGCACGGAGTGACTGCCTGAGCAGATGGCCCAGCATCCACGTGTGCGTGTCCTGGAGACGTGCCGTCCACTTCCTTGAACAATGACACATGCAGTGCCCAGATACTTCGGGGACTGTACTTCTTTCAGCCTATGTCCATCATCCACGCCCCACCTGAATGGAGCCTGTGCTGTTTCAGAGGACCAGAACTTTGTTTTTCTCTAGGAAGCGGGGGGGGGGGCGCTCTGGGTCCCACACTCCCCCACAGCACTGCTGGCATTGGATAAGCTGGGCAGCTGGGTGCCAGGGGCTCCTGGGCACGAGGGGTCTGATGGCAGTGACCAGCCATGCCAGGGGTGTGTCAGCCAAAGGTGTAGCTGTTTCAGATGGCCCACCAGCGGGGTTGTCCTGTTCCCCTCTTTTGCTGCCTGTGGGGGCAAAACATCAGCCCTGCGTGGCTGGCCTGCCTCTGGTCTCTCCCCGTCTGGGGGTGGCCCATGCCCTCCCACTGGTCCCCGCCTGGGCCCATCAGGCTGCAGAGGAACGCCCACGGCCTGATGGCGTGGCTCCTTTGCATCTGTCTGCCCGGGGCTACGGCACTAGTCTTGGCCACGGGGGCCGCGGGCTAAAGCCTGGCCTCTGCCTAGAGTTCTGCTGCTGGCCAGACCATCGCCAGGCAAAGAGGCGTGCGTTGTCTTTTGCCTCCACCCCCAGCCCCTACAGCTCAGCCCCACTCTGACGTGTGGGTGGGCACCACTCCCCAGGGGGCTGTTGTGTATTTCCCATAAGGGCCAGTGTACTGTTGTGGTTAAGAGCAGTGGACTCTAATCTGGAGAGCTGGGTTTAATTCTCCACTCCTCCTCCTCCACATGCAGCCTGCTGGGTGACCTTGGGCCAGTCACAGTTCTCTCAGAGCTCTCTCAGCCCCGCCTACCTCACAGGGTGTCAGTCTGTTGTGGAGGGGAAGGGAAAGGAGTTTGTAAGCCGCTCCGAGACTCCTTTGGGTAGTGAAGGGTGGGAGTATAAAGCCAAACAACCCCTCCTCCTCTTCCTCCTGCCACTCAGACCCTGGGCCTCTGTGGGAGTCATGCTGCCACCCGTCTCCTGGCGCTCCATCATCGGGGTGGAGCTGGGCGGGCACACCGTCAGGGGCTGGCGGCTGGCTGTGTCTCTGCCTGCCATTTGAGAGGGATGTCACCCGGTTGCTGTCCAACTGGTGGGTGTTGCCGGGGGTTTCTAGGGGCTCCGGCGTGCTCACTAGGTGGTCTGAGCCTCACGGAGGGCTGTGTGTGTACGCGCGCGAGTCACACACCCCCCCCCCCCCGGGGGGGAAAGCCCCTAGGGAGGCAGCCAGCTGGTGGCCACTGCCACAGGGGCCCTCCGGACGGGGCTGGTCCTCTTGCAGCCTGTCCGACTCATGCTGTCCACTTCGCCCTATGGGGGCAAGTTCCCCTGCTGAGGTCCAAAGGAGGCAGCCATCCAGCATTTAAGCTGTGTCTGAGGAACATAATTACACAAAGTAAATTTATTACTGATGTCCTCCAAAGTCCATAGAGGAGACATATGTTAGCTTTTTAAAGCCCAAGAGTGCCTCTGTGAGTTTATGGGAATCAAAGACAATGGCTTTCATATGGACTGATGCCTTCATACTCTCCTCAGGGATCCCCAGGGCAGTTCTCAGAAACTATCCCTGTGTTATGGCCCTGGAAATCTTGGACGCGGATCATGTGGGCAGGAACCTGTAAGGCCACCCAGGGCCTCAGGCTCACGAAGGAGGTGAACCTGAAACGGGGGACAGAGCCGAGAGGGCTTCAAGCACTGGCTGCCCTTTCAGTCTGGGGAAGACCTTCTGCCCCCCTACTACACTCTCCCTCAGACAGACAGAGAGATTAACAATACCGAAGGGTAAGCTTGCGGCATTTCTTCATTTACAAAATTACTATCTCTCTCCCCTTTCTTCCCATCAGAGCCCTCAAGGCTCCAAAGAGTTGAACCAAGCTCTATACAAATTTGAGGGGGGTGGGGACAACAACGACAACAAGAAGTCTTCTTGTGCCAGGAGCGACTATACCAATGCACAGTTACATCAAGTAGCTTAGTTAGGACACAGCCGAATCAGAGCCCTCAGCAGGTCTGACCTCTGAGAATACCAAACACCCGGAGTGAGCTCACAAACAGCCACTAATTGGGCAGCCTCTAGACATCCAGATCTATGGGGAATGCGAAGAGAACGGTGTGTGCATCAGTGATTGAAAATGGAAGCGCCTACCATGGGGCAGAGTCCGATTTAATTGAAATAATGGAGTCTGTCCATTAGAAGCTGCACTCATATAACAAAGATTTATCCATTGAAGATGAACTGGGGTAAGACAAAATCTAAAGTTCGGAAACTGATCAATGATGGAATTGAAGTTGAATTTTTAACTGAAGAAGAAGAAGATGAGTGTTAGAGCAACAGTAGCAGCAGAAGTGCTCATGTTTGGCTTGCGGATGCACTCACAAAAGCTGTGTCTGGACTCTGTTCAGCCTCCCCAGTGGAATGAGAACATTAATGCAGAGTCAAATACCATGCAATATACAAGTGAAGACCAACTCCTCTTTTGACATCAGTAGCAGCTCAGCCAAATCTTGGTGTTGGGTTTTGTACTTCCAATGCCAACATCAGCATTCTTCTTCTTCTTTTTATAAAAAATCACAAAATAGAATATTGTGTTCTCCCAGTGTTTTCACAAGTTGCCTTCTGTCTGATCATCTGAAAGAACTGCTGAGTGCCAGACCCAAGAGAAGCAAATGAGGATGCATGTGAGATGTTCCCTAACCGAGCAGTGCAACATTACAGCAAAAAGGACATAGGTGTAGCACCTCGCATTTAATTTATGCAATTTATGCATTTAATTTATGCAATGACAATTTGGGCAACTATATTATCAAATGAAAGGCACTGCTGATATGAAGTGCAACACTGTGGTGCGGCATTGTTTTAGGGTCCAAAATATGGGGGGGAGAATCAGTATTACCGAGGTCAAAACAGAAAATTCCTGGTACAAAACGGATGCTGTGAGCCATCAAATCCTGCCGTTCACAGACAGGAGGCGGTACAGTGAAACCTAAGATCACAGCAACGTGGCTACGATTGCTCCCGTGTCACCACCACTGAATCTCTGTTGTTCATCAGGGAACCTCAGTCTGCTTGCTGTGCAGACATATGATGGGACACGCCCACACTGCACTGATGAACACCTGCAAAGCTTCAAATATCAGCTAGAGTCCATGGGAATGTGCGTGCAACAAGCCTGAATCTCTCTGTCTCACTCGTTTTTGTCCACTCAAGTGGACAGAAAGTCAGGCTGTTGATGGCCGTTATACTGCCAAAGTGCCTATAGGCTGGCCCTTGGGACTGGCAGAGATCTTTGAGGCAGTCATGGAAGAGTCTCCCACTGAAGTTGTTTTTTTGGTGAACAGCCACCCCCTCCCATCGCCCATGCCTGTGATTTTTGAGGCAGATGCACTGACCAGACTAATGTCTCCAGGGCAGGCGCTACCTCTTTAGGGACAGGTGGTGAGCTGCTGAGGGTTCCTAAAGCGCCTGGAACGCAGTCACTTGTGGAATGGAATGCCTGTCACTTTGCCTTTGTCCGCAAGTGCTCTCTTGCATTGCAACATCCGGTCTGGACAAGATGTGGAAGCCTGACAACACAGAGGCTTTGAATAGTCAAAGCATGTGTGGTAATGGGACACAGCACCTGTTCATACCACTGCCAATGTCATCTTGAATCTGTCGGAAGCAGAGAGTATCTGCCTCAAGGAAGGACTCCCACATTAGGGTCTGGTGAGCAGGGATGGAGTTATTGGTTCCTTAATCAGCCTGGTAGACTTCATGTAGCTACTTCTTCCGGGCTGTTTCCTAGGCATGTTATACTGCTATGAGTAGCCACTGATCTGTCAGGACCACTGACACTTTTCAGAATTCTTCTTGACCTAATCCACTTCTCCAGCAAGAAACCTTTCGGTTTATCATGAGACAGCATTTTATGCCTAGTGACGCTGCTTGCTGCATGATCTTGTACTGTACTTCTTCTGATATTGCTGGGTGTTATTAATGAGTGCCTGAGTGTTAACTGATATTTTTGCAGGTATTAATAAGCCAGTCTGGTAACAATGGAATACAGAAGAATTTCATTGTAACTCTTGAAATTATCACCTCTTCACTTCCAGAAACACGCCCCAAAGGTCTGGCGTGTTTTCAAAGATCTAAAGTTACTAATATAGCACAAATCTGCAGTACTACTGACAGCTGCTTCTTTAGCGGGGCCATCTGGCTAGCCCATTCCATCTGAGGAAACCATAAGGATATCATTTATTTAATGCATTTATTTGTAGCTTTTTGACTGCAAACTCCTCAAAGTGACTGACAAAATGTAAGTACAGACATTAATTAGCATGACTGTCCTTTACAGCCTCTGGTCAGTGTAATGGCTGCTTATCCATCAGGTGGGCTCTTCCCTCATGCCCCCCCCCCGGGTGGCCACAGCATCCGAGGGAGGTGCCTGCAGCCTCCGCAGCAGCCAAAGGGCCCTGGGAAGGCCAGTCTCTGTGAGGGAGCTCCTGGTGGCCAGTGATTCCGAGATTTCTATCCACACCCTCTTGGATGCAGAGGACCACCTGGGCAGAGAGTGGACTCAGACTGGCTTAAACTGAAAAGATCAGACTGCAACACCTCCCCCACCAACCCCCCCCCTTCATCTCCATCCCACTTTTCAGATTAAATTTCACTTCTCAACATGCTGAGGTGCACAGGACACACTGGTTCTAGACCCCTGCCAGTCTGGCTTCCACCCCGGTCATGGGATGGACGCTGTGCTGGTCGCCCTCATGAACCATCTCTGCAGGCAGCTGGATCGAGGCGGGTCGGTGCCGTTGTTATTGCTTCACTTGACAGCAGTGTTCGACACAGTGGATCACAACCTGCTGTATGTCAGACTCACAGCAAACAATGAAATACACTCTTCCAGGAAGGTTTTATTTTATTGAAGCCATGAAGTAAGAACAGATGTTCTGTTCAGAATAACATGAAGGGCTTGAGCCAGGTATAATAAAGCAAGTTCAAAATAACATGGGCCAATAGATATGGTTCCCGCACCCGCCTTGAGGGCTCATCTCGCGCTCAAACCTTGAGAAAGCAACAGTTATAGCTGATTAAACAATTCTTCTATTCTCACACTACTGTTCATTATAGACTAAGCAAAAAGCCTCCAAATGCGAACCACCTGTAGCCTTGGCTGATAAGGTTCCTTCAAAGCAACGCTAGCGTACATGGAAAGCAATGTAGTTGATGATGAGCGCTTGAGGGTGAGGGGGGACATGCGCACAAGAGTCCAAGCCAGTTAGGGAAAGGCGGGGGGGGGGGGGAGGCATGGCTGTTTGCCCCAGGGCAAAATAACGCGCGGTTGGGCAATCTGACGTCCCATGGAGGTCCCGTGGTTCACCATCTCGCCAATGTCGGAGTGTGCGGGGCAGCCCTAGAGTGGGTCGCCTCATTTCTCCAGAGTCAGGGACAGAGGGTGGGGCTTGGTGAGAGGGTGTCCTCTCGATACCCGGGTCCTTAGGGAAAACCTGGCCTCAAGTTGAGTCCCTGGTCAGGTTTTTGGCCCAGGCTCTGTGGAACTCTCTGCCGACTAACATCAGGGCCCCTGCGGGATCTGTTGTAATTCCATAGGGCCTGCAAGGCACAGATGTTCCGCCAAGCACACGGCTGAGGACGGCAGCGGGTTCTTAACAGCTACAAGCTTCTTAACCTCAGCTGGTTTTAACATCCGTGGTCTGGCGGGCCAATCAGTCGTGAACAGAGGCTGTTACAGTACTGTTCAAGGAAAGTAAACTGGGGGACTAAAATCGTATTATGGCACCATGTGGGTTTTGGGTTTTTTAGAATTGTACGTGAGATTATTTATGGTCTTACATGTATTCTATAGAACTTTGCTGCTTGTGGGGAGGGTGGTGTAAAAGCCTAATTTAATAAACAAATAAACAAACAAATGCTCCTTTTTACTTTTTAAACTAGTGATAAGAATTATACAGTCCATCATAACATCTTCCTTGATAAATTATCATCACCATTCTCCCTTCCTCAAAACAGATTAACTTCCACATTCTGAAGGCAAAACACATGAAGTGACGATGTGCCCAGCTCCCTGGTCTGGAGAAGAACATTTCCTTCCGCTCCATGGCCAGGGGAACAGGACGGTCCCCCCACCCTCTCTCTTCAGGTGGTCTGTCAGCAAGGAGCCCACCAGCTGCCTCAGCTTGCAAGGACCAGGAGGATCCTGGGGGGGGGGGGGGCATCACCTTGCTGCTC